TTGGTAGAATGTAACCAAAACCCATTCATTAGTATTCATAGTGGCACCCCCCACCCCCAGGAAAGTGTATTGTGTGCAAAGGCAGAGATGGTGTGCAGTGAACGTGTTACGCAGAATCACAGGAAGGGGGAGAGCTGTTTACAGCCTGCTTTACAATCCAACTTTGGTATAAGACTGAATTTCCTGTGGTAAAAACTTAGACTTTCTAGGGTTCAGGCCTAATAAAAAGTTAATAAAACAAATGAAGAAAGCCTGCAATGTGAGTCATGAAAATGCCGATACATGTACATCATCACTGCACCTCTTTATTACCACAATAAATGCTAATCACTTACAAAAGTGGAAATGGGCTTTCAGCTGTTTTTGGTGGATTGTAAGGGTACAGTAGGCTTTACTTTGCTTGTGAGGGTACAGAAGCTCCCTTCAATTATCCTGGACCAAGTGTTGTACAAAAAAAGTTCCTTATTAGACCTCATTATTTTACCTTTCATCACTGAAAGAAAAAAAGACATTGAATAAACTAAAGTAAAAAAGATAAAGCAACGGCACACAAATTACAATAAAAAATACACACATAAAAAAGGAAAACAATTACAAACAACACTAAATGAAATAAAAGAATCAATCCTATTTCCAGCCCATCAAAAAACACATCCTCAAATTATTGTCTTAGCAGCTCAATTAGTGAAATTATTATTAATATTATTGTGATTATTATTATTTTTATTATTCAGGATTTATATAGCACCAACAGTTTGTGCAGTACTTTACAAAATGGGGGAAACAGTACAGTTACAATACAATTTCAGTACATTAGGGTTAGGTGGACCCTGCTCGTGAGAGCTTGCAATCTAGTAGGAGGGGCAAGTGATACAAAACGTAATAACTGTTTAGATTGAGTTAGTGGAAGAAGTAAAAGTGCAGTTATGTTGAGGTGGGATAGGCTTCCCTAAAGAGATTAGTTTTTAAGGATCGCCTAAAGGTGGACAGTGTAAGAGGTAAGCAGACAGATTGGGGTAGGGAGTTCCAGAGCATGGGAGACACTCTGGAGAAGTCCTGGAGGCTTGCATGTGAGGAGGTGACAAGAGATCTGGGGAGCAGGAGCTCTTGGGAGGAGCGGAGAGGACGGTTTCGGTGATGTTTTGAGATGGGGTTGGAGATGTAGCTGGGGGCAGAGTTGTGGATGGCTTTGTATGTTGTTAGTATTTTGAATTTTATTCATTGGGCAATTGGGAGCCAGTGGAAAGACTGACAGAGAGGGGCAGCAGACACTGAGCAGTTAGTTAGGCGAATGAGTCCAGCAGCTGCATTTATGATAGACTGAAGGGGAATAGCCTGTTTAGTGGTCGACCAACAAGCAGGAAATTACAGTAGTCAAGGCGAGAGAATTAGAAGCTTTGCGGTTTCGTTTGTTAAAAGGGGTCAAATTTTAGAAATTTTTTTTTCTGCTCTTCTAAAGATACATTAAAGTGAGAGTTGTTACACTAGGACAAGAAGTGTGATACTGGCAGATGAAAATAAAGGACTGAATAAAGAAAGCTAATGCAGCCATCACTTCTGAATACTGATAAGCGATAATACATTACATTTATGCTCTTGAGTTTCAGTAAGCCTTTAAAGGTTATCTATGGTCAAAAAATAAAAAAAAAAAATTTATTTCTATATTGCATTTCCATAAGTTCTATTCCACTCATAATAACCATCTCCATCTAGAAGTTTGTAAACGTACTTATTGAAGATGCCCATAAGATGTACTTCATCAATGCACTGACACCATTTCACTCATCCATGTGAATATTCACTTCCTCATGTCAGCACTCTCACTGAGCCTGCCTTCTAAACTACAACTCAACATCTGAAAAATTATCATTGCTTGCTGGAAGTGAGATATGTAGTCTTGAGAAATCAAGACTGTATCATATCAAGCAGCAGGAAAAGAGACACAAAGCACACTCAATTTCAGGAAGTTGTATAAAGTAATGGGCAGATAGAAGACAGCACTACATAAAAGGGATTTTTTTCAAGTAAGCTTTGATTGCATTATCACAATCATCTCTAGTGTGTATTCCTATTACAATGCCGATCTTATAACAGGATAGTATATGCTGGGATTTTATATCTCCTTTAATCTTATTATTAGTATTATTATTGTTATACAGGGTTTATATAACGCCAACAGTTTGCGCAGCGCTTTATGTAATAGGGCATATTGCTGCTACCAAGAACCTTATTTTGGCAACCTTAAAACATTACTAAAAAGAATTGTAATTAGTTATATATCTAAATAAAATCTGTGAGTATCAGTATTTGTATTTTTTTAATTTCTGAAAAGAGAACATGGAGTTTAAATCTGTGATAATTATCCAGCATGAACTTAGAAGCCTTTCCGTTATGAGTAGTCGTCAACTGTAAGGTTCGAGATGTTAGTCAAGCATCACTGAATTCATTGTTAGAATTTCTATACATTTGAATGATTTAAGTAGGAAATCCCCACAGTAATGTCTTCTTTAGAAGAGAGCGTAATGTGGAGGAGTATACATTATGGTCAGGCTACAGACTGACCATCCAATTTATTGCTTCTTCTGCTGCCTCATGTACACATCCATGGAGTGACCTCTGCTCACATCACCATTTAGTGCAATTCTTTCCAGGAAATCTTAACACTCGGCTGGTGGGGGCGTTTAAAAGGAAACTTTCTGACTAATATATGGGGGAGCATTGGTGACAACGAGAATATATTGTGACCGATACATGGATATTATTTAACAACATAAATTAAGGCCAATCATGAAGAGATCCTGTTGGCAGAACATTCATTTCAACAGCAATCTTCCCATAACGTTATATGAGCATTTAACATATTTTATGTATGTCATTTACCTGTAAATCAGTAGATCATGGAGCAATTAAAATAGTCCGGATACAAATGGTATCTGGTTTGGCAGCTGGTATGGCAGTAATCAACAGAATAATCACACGGGTCCAGCGCTTTCTTTTCACTTCCAAATATCATTGACCTGTAAAAGTCTCCCTTGTTTAGGCATTCAAAAGCCCTGAGACTGCCGCTGGCCTCCGCCATCTTGGTTGTTATATCAGAAGCCCCAACAGACTTATAGCTGTCACTCAAGTGATAATCTATAGTGTTTCCATTTGGGTTATATGTGGAGGTGAGGTGAGGGATGAAGGAGCTGGTCCACCACAAAGAGTAATTAGACACTCCCAGAAGATGAGAAGATGAGAGGGCTATGATATGCAAGGAGGGAGCAGGCTGTGCTAGGGCAATGACTTCCCTGAAATTCGTTAGCAAGTTCCAAGGCACATTGAATAAAAAAGTGTTTATGTAAAGAAATAATCCTACGAGTAAGCATTTGTACTTTTACCTGCAACTCAGCCATTCCCTACAGGTGACAGAAGTCTCTAATCAAGACAACAGGAGGGTTAGTTGAACTGTTGGTTAGCTTGCATTGCTATAGTGAGTAGTTGGTGTCCTCAATACATAGGAAAAGGAAGCTGTTGGTGGCAGGCTTCATTTCCTGGTACAGGCCCCAATGATACTGTGGCTGTGAAAGACTGAATACACAATATTGCTTGTGGTTATATGTGACAATAAGTGTGGTTAAATATGCAGTACAGAGTAACCCTAACTAAAAAAAAAAAAATACTGGCTTTCCTACAGAGCATAAAGTACATTTTCCTAAAGTGCACTTTAAAGTGTATTTCCACTCGCAGCCAAATTGGGATAACACCTATTTTATATTTGTTACAAGTTCCCATTCACATCGCATAAGCTAAAAATAATTAAAAAATGCTACTTGCAGTTCAAATTGCTTTTACTTGGGTTAGGGTTTTAAGGTTTAAAATTTCTTCTTGCTTCCATTTCTTTGAAATGTTAGGAGGAGCTGTTAAGGGTGAGGGGGTCTGAGGTGGTCTGCCCATTATATGTTAATAGCTGTTAAGGGTGAGGGGTCTGAGGTGGCTTGCCCATTATATGTAAATTAATCTTATCAGATAAACACAATCCTCAAATATCAGTCCTAAGCCTTTCCATTAGGACAGATCACTGTGAAAGGGCTAAGCAAAACCTGGAATCAGTGATCTTGCCTGCTTTAGCAAAACATCTAAAAGTTGAGGCTTTTTTGTTTTTAAAAGCTATTTTTCAGTATGCTGTGTGAACACATAACACATATATAGAGGGTTTTTTTCAAATTTGACTGCAAAAGTGGAAATACACTTTAAGCCTAATAAGCTCATAATAAACAGGTTCCATGTAATCTGATCCTAGGTTCAAAGCTAGTATAATAGGAACAGGTGTCTACCCAACATATCCTTAATGTAACATTTCCTATGATTTCTGCCATAGACAGTGTATACTTACAATGCGCCTTCCCCTCTTGTCAATGTTTATAGCCAGCTCTAAGTAGCTCACTTTGCCCTCAGTGTTACTCACTTCTCTCCACCAACTCCACTGTGTTAAGATGTCCATTCAAAGGCAGAAGTAAATTAAGATTATTTTAAGTCTTCTATGCCGTTAATGTGTTTGCATATATGTATACTTGCCAAGGCTGTATTTCTGCATATGAAACATAGACCATGGCCTAGGCTGACAGGACTTGTAGGGAAGACAGCCACTGACAGATCCCATTTTTGACTGTAGTAAACAACTTAATCCACATACCTAGAACTGAACTGATAACAGAATAGGGTGGCTATTTGTCGGATTTAGGTTCCCTGCCATATAGCAGGGAAATTGTCTCTTCCAGCCTCTCTGTCCCCAACTTTGGCATGCCTTGTGTAGCTACAATGTCTAATTGTATTACTGTCATACTATGGCCAGACATTTAAAGTTAAGAGCAACTCACCCATAAATAACCTCCGTCTAGTATCAATTCCAGGGTGGTCGATCAGTGTGCTCTTCCATTTCTCCAACAAGTAATATGGCCAGCCAGGGAACTGGGATAGAAGAGGACAGCACATGTCATTAGTCTGGGAGGGCAGGAAGCATAAATTCAGACTTGCTGCTGGCACTTCCTTTCACGGCTGCATATTGACTTACACATCAAGAGGCCAAGAATAAAAAATGAGGGTTACATTGTGTACTCCACTCAAAACAATAGGTGGCTTCTGCCCTCATTGATTACTCATAGCTGTCAGATCTTCCCCTCACCCTGAAATGCCAAATCTCCTGCAGACCAGGCAACCAAGAAAGAGGAGAAGGACCGACATGCCTTTGTATGGGCAGTATTACAGAAACAATACAATATATTATTGTCTGCTATGAATTATAGGACATGAGATCAGTAAGTGACAGGTGGGGAGAGCTGTGAAAATACTGTAGGAATTGACACTGTGAACCAGAGTGAACCATACACCTATTGCATGGTGTTTTCCCATAGCAGGCTCCCTAGAGTGTGTTTATATTTTGCCTCCACGAGCTCATCAAATTCCTGAAAGCTCAGTTCTGGTATAACTCATGTAAGCCACCCTTTGCCATTCAGAGTAACTGAAAGGATTTTCACATTAATGGACACCAGGACACAAGCTGGATCTGAACATTTCACCTTTGGATAATGATCCTCAGTCTGAAACGCACTGCTCTGTTTTTCCTGTGTGCGCTGCCAACAGCAATACTTCATTTATCAAGTTTAAAAATGGATTTGCAACCGGCGGCAGCTGAATCCGTTTAGCACACATGGTGCTTGGGTTGTTTAAACTGTCACTGGGGAAACAGATTTGCTGGTTCCCAGAATCCTCTCACTGCTGGAGATGCTACAATTTTCATTACCCCTAAATAGCAGACATAAGGCACGTTCACGGGGGCCTGGAGGAATGCCTCAGAGGGCCTTCTACATGTGCTGCTTGTTTGAGGAGCCATTTTCTAGGCTGAGATGGAGAGGGCCGCTATGTCTTCTCCATGATGAAGTGGAGTACCAGTAACAGATTTATGCAAGCAAAATGAATAAAGGAGAAGACACAACATGGAAAGAGATAACCGAGGTAGAGTCATAAAGAACAGAAAAGGCAGATGGGTCCCAAATGATTTAGCACTGCAATTAGTGATTGTTAGTGACTGTGTAAAGCCAGCGTAGACATCCAGCATTAGAGATTTTAAAGGACCAGCAAACCTAAAATACATGTTAATTTATGATCTGTATCTATTGGTATCCTTCCCAATGGTCATCTGGCAAAACAGGCAATTAGTGGGACTGGTATGGTTAGAAAACCTGTAGACTGAACATCCACACTCAATACCTAAAGTGTCCCCTAAACATTCTTCAGTTGTGCTCACTTACTGCAGTTGAAAGTGACTGCTTCTATATTAAACATTATCGCTTTACAGGTCTCCACAAAGATTATTTTATAGAGAGATTTAGACTGTACTTCCATATTTATCATATTTGAATGGACTTTATTTATTATTTCTTTAATTTCAGATGCTGTAAAGGACATCTGTACCTTTGTACAATTGTCCTTTTAATTATATAATAATTGTCCTTTTAAAAAATTTTCCCCCATTCTCCAAAATGCCAAAAAAAATTCTAACTTTCAGCCCCAAACCCGCACAGCCTCTCTGCTGAAAATAGCTGCTTCATACTGCACTTGCATGCTGTGGCCCAATTTATTCCTATGAGAAAGCCGTATTCATGGTGCCCACCAGTGGCTGCTTTCCCATAGGAATGAATAGGAACTGCCGTGCAGATGCCCAGTATGAAGCGGCCATTTTCCTGAAAAAGGCTTTGAGGCCCTGAGTGGGGCACTCAACTTTTAACCTCAGTTCGCTGGACCAATTTTGCTGGTTTTCGCTTTTTATCATGTTTCGCTATTTTATACTTACAGCTTTGACAGTTTATAAAATACCAAATCATACCTTTTCTAAAAGCATAGGACCCGTAGAATAAAAAGATGTTGCTGCTGAATTTGTACATCCCAAGATAGTTGTGCAAATGTTTATCAAACAATATTTTCTGTAAAAAATACACATTAAAATATACTAAAATCGCTATTTGTGCCTTTTTGTGAAACGCTTAGAATCGAAAGCATGCAAAGCTGTAAATAAGCAACTTGCGCAAAAAATCTGGAAGTTGGCCTCACATCTATGCCCCATGTAAGCGCTGCGGTGGTGTGCATAGCGATAAAATGATCCGGCCATACATTTTATTGCAATGCAGCATGATACAACATTCAGCAATTGATTGGAATGGGCTAGTGTGCTGCCGTTGAAAAAATCTAATTTAAAAAAAGACAAAAACAATCAAGCACTGCCATGCTTTGTAACTATGCACTGCAGCTCACATGTACAATGAACACCAGCATGAGTGCATTATGTGGCCGCAATGCAAAAATTAGTGTTATTATTATGATGATTATTAATATTATTATTATCATCATCATCGTTATTATTATCATTATTATTATTTTACCAGTGGGGGCTTTTGGGAAATATCAGGGGTTTGAACAAACCTTTAATATTTCACTTTTGAGACAAGAGAAAAAATTGAGTCTGTAATCTCCTTCTCCTCTCAGCGCTCAACACTTCTGGGTTTAGTCACAAACTGAAGAGACAGTAAACATTGTATTCATGTTTACTATCTCTTCAGTGATGAATGAACACCAAAGTACTCTGGTGTTCATTCAGGAAAGTGACGGATCGGTAAATATGAGACATGTTCACCAGTCCCATGATCTGCTTTGTGTCCCCTCTGCCGAACTCTTTTTTAAAGAACTATGAGGTGAGTGATTTTCACTCAACCTCATAGTTCGAGCCGACGCGTGACGATGGAACTGTCACAGGTCAGCTCAATAGATCGGGAAGTGAGCGAACGCATACCGTCGCTCGCTCACTTCTCGATCATGTCCCTGCAGAGAGCCATGACTATCACTCACGGCTCCCTACAGGGATTCCCCCCCCCCGCTCCGATCCTCCAGCGCTGACTGGCGGAATGGACGGGGGAGGGGGCGGTTTACAGCTGGCTCTGCCTCTTGATAGCTAGATGCTAGTTTTGGGGACAGCGGGTTTTGCAAGGGACATGGAGGGAAGCTGATTGCTGGTGCACAATAGGGAAGATAGTAAATGGAGTATACATGATTCTGTTTTTTTCATTGAACCCGAATAGTACAGATTTCTCCATCAATGCTTATGGGAGGTGACAGATAATTCCCTGCTGTTTGCATTGTATTTTGACAGCGGCTGCCAGTCGTTAGGCTGAGAATTTTCGAACCGGCTCCTTTGAACAGTTGATCGAGGGATGCCGGGCCGAAGGGTGCCAACAGCAATACTTGGTACATATTTCGGCCAAAATTCGAACTGCGTGTACCTTACTTATATGCAGGGCATTCTGGGCAAGAACCCGACAGACAAGACACAGAATAAATGGCATCAATCAGCACCTGACA